TATTCTTAGTATAAGTACCATTTATGGTCGCACACACCCATTTTACATAGTATCATCCACTTTTAATACAAGTCATTCCTTTCCTTCATCAGTTTCATCATTTAAAAGTCCTTGATATCAGGTCTAATAGGGCTTGATCCAAGGCTAAGACGTTTAAGTCTTGTTCATTATTTTTATTTAAATAATATAATAACCATTATAAAATTGTTTAAATACCTTTTAAATAACACGTAAAAAACTAGGTTAAACTTTTAAAAAACGGTTAAAAAATTAATTAATTTAATAATCTTTTAAATATATAAAAATTTTAAAAAATGAAATAATAAATAAAAAAACGAAACGTAAAATAAAATTAAACTTAAATAATTAAATTTTAAATAAATTTCTTACGTTTATATATTTTAAAAAAATTAATAAAAAAATGTTAATATTTATACGAAAATTAATAAATAATAAAAGGTTTAAAAAATATAAAAATATTAAAATTAAACGTAACGCGTATATTACCGAAAAAGTTCGAATTAATACGTTTTATATTATATAAATTTATTATTAAATAAAACGATTACGGAGATTTTACAATTTATTATATAAGATTTAAATATTTTAAACGTAATAAGCTTTATTAATGCGGCGAAAATATAAAACAAAAATTTTATAAAATATAAAATAATAAAAAGGAAATTATTAAAATTAAAACTATTAAAAGATTTTTTAAAATATATGTTAAAGTTAATAAAATACCGGGATTTTAAATAATTTATTTAAAAAATTAAGTTTTATTAATTATTAATTATAAGTAATTATAATATTTTATAAAATAAAAGTATAAAATAACAGGTTTAAAAAGTTTAAAAATTTAATTTATAAATAATATTATATTTTTTTTTTCCTTTATTTAAGTAATCAAGTAGTTTTTTTTATATTAGGTGATACTTTAGTTTTATTTCCCCTAGGGAGTATTTTAAACGTTTAAAGCGCCATTGATGCGCCATTATATATATTTAATTAAATAGCATAAAGCCCCTAATAGGTAAACGTAAACGTTCTCATCTTATCATCATCCCCAAGCAGCCACTTGGGCGTTTCTGACAGAATCAGCTCCAGGGGCGTAAGCCGGCATCATACTAGTTATGTCGATCAATATTAGATAAGCTCACCACCTACATGCTGGTATCATCAGCCCGAATTCTACAGGTAGCACCGTATAGGATGATCAGATGAGGTAGGCTTACCATTTACATCCTACTACCAGAGCTAGCTCGAGTACCGAAAAGGCGCCGGGGATGAAAATCGGAATATGGCAAGCTCACCATTTACATGACAATGTCAAAATCAGTTAGAACACGAATACAGCACTAATGATGATGATCGGGATGAGATAGGACTTGTAGAAATGCATATAAAGGTTCAAAGAGTTCACCTTGTTTCTGGTCTCTCATCTCCATTATCACCATCACCTTCACTCAACAAGCCTTCTAGCTACTAGCTATTCGATCTCATCAACCAAACCCCTTCAGTCTTATAACTACTTTCTTAACTCACAAGAATACAAAATGCGTACCTCCTTCTTCAAGGCCGCAACCTTCGCCCTTCTCGGGCTTGGTAACGTCTTCCCTGGCGTTCTAGGTGCCCCGACTTCCAATGAGGTCGAACAGGTAAGCTGGCTTCTATCATTTTCTCTTGGGCATTACTAACATCGATTTTATAGCGCTCCGACACACTGATGGCGAGGGCTAAGGCAGTACCTGATATCACCAAGCAAGGATACAAGGTCGACGATGGCACTGGTTTCCCAAAAAAGAAGACCTACAAGGTCACTACTCCGCACTACATTGGTACTCTCGACTTGATCCAAGTCATTACCGATAGCAAGCTGGTTGCCATCAAGGACGCCAACAACATAGAAGACAAGACCCCTAACCGGGCCAAGCTCCGTGATATCGTCATGTACGTGTACTCGAAGAAGGGAAACCTAAAGCCGGAGGAGATCCAGAAGGTCCGCTTCGAGACTGTCGTGGAGAAGGCCACCAACGCCGCTATCAAGGCCGCCTACGAGAAGCTAGGCAAGACCACGGGCGACTTCACCGTCAAGAGCAGCGACAGCGGCAAGGAGAAGGAAGTCTTCGACAGCCTCTCCGGTACCCCCTTCGGCAAGATCGCTAGCAGCTACCACAGTGACTACAACGCAGGCCAGGTCAAGGAAATCAAGATCGAAAACAGCCCGACCCGCCCCGACATGGAGGTCCACCTGGGCTAAGTGGGCTATGTACGATATCTTTTGATAGTAAAATGTATCCATACATGTACATGGATTAGGTGTGTGGATTACGCTCGGCACATCGGGGCTGGGGTTTAGGCATAGATGGCACGGCAAGGTTTTCTTTGGGTTCCCTTCTTTTTTTTATTTTATCAGTTAGTACATAGCTTGCTAGTTTCACTCTCGAGAAAGAGTAAAAAGTTTGTCACTCGTTAGGTCTTAGAATAAAATGAAGCTATTCCTGGCTCTATAAATCAAGATGGTGCCTGCATTGGCTCGTGACACATTTAATGCATTTAATTCAAGCAGGGTAAGCAATCCCCACAGATCCTGACAGCTAAGCTTTTCGGAAAAGCGGCTGTAAATACCTATGTATGGACTCGTTTGATCTGACGTGAGAAATATTTGTTTGATATTACGTTTATATATTAGCTTTGCGAGGCGAGAAGACGTGAATCCATATACCTAAGGTACCCTACCTATACCCACGGGTAACTCCGTAACCTTGACTTATTCAAGTAACCACTTGCATAAATCAATAGATAGTAGATCCTCCGTAAGCTTTTATTAATAGCTGAATTAACAAATATCGTAGCCAAATAAGTTATGGGTTGCCTTCAAATCAAGCTAGTCTTATGACTATGGACATATGGCAAACTATCTTGCTGATGGTGTGTTCTTACAGTTCTTACATATAAAATTCCCTTTTTTTCTTGGCGTAGATGTGAATAAGGTTATCGGTGAGGCTGCGCGCCAAGACATCGAAGCTTACAGGTACCTACATAAGGTACCTATATACATATGTAGGTGGGGTGTCTTGGCACCTGTACCTGTGTACCTGACTGTTAACTTTAAAGGAGCCGGGGTGGACCCTGACGTCAAACCAATTGAAAGCTTCCCGCACCAAAATTCCAAAAACCGTGTTCACTTTTAAAGCTTCCAAAAGGCCGGGCCGCTAATTGGAGAAGTCTAGAAAACCGGCATCTTGCCATTGCTTCTTCTAGTTAACTATTCTTAAAGAAGGAGATTTGCCTGTTCGATGCCGTCATGACGCTCTCAGGTCAATTGACAGCTGTGCTGTCACTTCTTGCCGTGCCGTTATTTGCCCCGTTGGCAGCTTGTCAGGTTGAGGGTGAAGGTATTCTCAATGCCGAAATTGGCCGCTTAAACAACCAGAGCCTATTATGGGGTCCTTACCGTCCAAACTTGTATTTTGGAGTCCGCCCTAGGATACCCAAGAGCCTGGCCACTGGTCTTTTATGGGCTAAGGTTGACAATTATGTCGATGTCCAAAATAGTAAGCTCTATAATCTACGGCGTGCCTAAGTCAAAGCTGTGAACGGAATTGTTAATTTAGCATTTAGGCTTCCGTTATACATGTGAGCAACATGAGGGAATGGCCGGCTATGGATGGGATGAGTATGATACCCGAAGAGGCGGTGTGCAGCATATTCATGATGCAGGAAACAAAATTGACATAACTACCGAGTTCGTCAAGATCCCGAGTGGCGCTCATGGTGGAAGCTGGGCAGCCCGTATTGGAGGCGAGCCCCGAGATGATGCACCCTCTAACCTCCAGACTACGGTACTATTTTACGTTGCCTCCGAGTCTCTCGGTGAGACCGTTGATATTGGCAGCGACGGCGACGAGCACGGATTCGAAGGCGATGTGACTTTTGTTGGCAAGTCCGCGGTTCTGGGTGACTATAAGCTAGTCGTGACTAAGGGCACGGGCGATCATCCCAACAGCGATCACGTCATATCTAGCAAAAGAGATCTTAGCAAGACGGTAGTGCAGTCATTAACTGTACCTGAAGAGCACCTATGGCAGGCTAAGCAGCTTCTATTCCAGCAGCTCAGGGCGGGTGTAGACGAGATCATTCAGGAATATGGGGCTGAGAACGCACCCCCGCCCTGGCAAGTTTACCAACTTTCGAATAAGCCTAGCCCTGGAAACTTTCATCTCGTCCAAAAGGTCTTTGAGGGGGCCTTCGAGTTTGATATTCTATTCTCGAGCGGCTCTGCTGGCAAGGATATTACAAGCGAGGACCTAACTCGGGAAATCAAATCGACAACTGAGTCTTTCAACGAGCGGTTTGTCGACGTCTTTGCGCCGCAGGCTCCGTTCGACGCCGACAAGTACCGCAAATTTGGGCAAAGTATGCTTTCCAATCTCGCTGGAGGCATAGGATACTTCTACGGACAGCATGTAGTAGATCGGTCGTACGCTCCCGAGTATGACGAGGAAAATGAAGGGTTCTGGGAAGAGACGGCAGAAGCCCGCGCGCGTAAACAAGAGCAGCTCGAGGGCCCGTACGAATTATTCTCTAGCATCCCGTCTCGGCCCTTTTTCCCTCGCGGATTTCTGTGGGATGAAGGCTTTCACCTCCTCCCCATTGCTGATTGGGATATTGATCTTACTCTTGAGATTGTGAAGAGCTGGTACAACTTGATGGACGAGGACGGTTGGATTGCCCGAGAACAGATCCTCGGCGAAGAAGCTCGAAGCAAGGTGCCTCCCGAGTTTCAAGTCCAATACCCGCACTACGCCAATCCCCCAACGTTATATCTGGTCCTCGAAGCTTTCACCGAAAGGTTGCAAAAGACGAATGGCAGCCAGCACGTAGGCGAGAAGGAACATCTCACGCCAGACACCGTCCTAGAGAGCGCCCATGTTGATAACCCCGCATTGGGTATTGAGTACCTTCGCAGTATATATCCTCTTCTACGCCGTCAATTCCAGTGGTTCAAAAAGACTCAGTTCGGTGATATCAAATCGTATGACCGGCAGGCCTATTCTACGAAGGAAGCCTACCGTTGGCGCGGACGCTCTGTTCAGCATGTACTAACGAGCGGATTGGACGACTACCCCCGACCGCAACCTCCTCACCCTGGTGAGCTACATGTGGACTTGATGTCCTGGATGGGTATGACAGCTAGAGTGCTAGCGAAGATCGCGGGCTTCGTCGGCCTCCCAGAAGACGTGCAAGAGTACAACAAGGTATTCGATGGCATATCGCATAATCTGGTCGACCTGCACTGGTCGGAATCCGCAGGCTGCTTCTGCGATGCTACGATCGATGAATTTGAGGAGCACACCCTTGTCTGCCACAAGGGCTATATCTCCCTATTTCCGTTTCTACTAGGTCTGCTTCAGCCTGATGACCCCAAGCTCGGCAAACTCCTCGATCTCCTAGGTGACGAGGAGGAGCTGTTCAGCCCCCACGGTATCAGGAGCTTAAGCAAGAAATCCGAGTTCTACGGCACGGACGAGAATTACTGGCGTAGTCCTGTGTGGATTAATATTAACTACCTTGCCATCGTACAACTCCGGGTAAGTTCAACTGCCACTTAGCCTTATCTCCCCATCCCTTTTTCTCCTCAGTCTTCATCATCCCTATCTATCTACCCATCCAATCCTTTATAGACGCTCGCGTAAATCCAACACACCGCTAACCAACCCTTCCCAGAACTACGCCACCCAAGACGGCCCCTTCGCCGCCAAATCCAAGACCTTATATGCCAAGCTGCGGAAGAACATAGTCGAGACCGTGTACCAGAGCTGGGAGGACACGGGCTTCGCCTGGGAACAGTATAATCCCGAAACCGGCAGCGGTCAGCGCACGCAGCATTTCACCGGCTGGACTAGTCTCGTCGTCAAGATCATGGCTCTCGACGATCTAAGCTCCTGGTCGACGGGCGGCAGCGCGGCGGAAAGGGAGAGGGATGAGCTATAGGGCATTTTTCGCGTGATGCAAAGGTTTTATAAAAAATACGGTGCGTATGGGACGAATTTACGCTTAAGGAGAGCTGTAAGGAAGAAATGTCCATATTTTGCCTAGGTACCTAGATACCTAGGATTCTAATGACAATTGAGACGAATGATATGATACGGTAATGATAGAACGAGGCTTGAAAATGCAACACGACTTGATATTTATGTGCTATTTATATGTAGCGGTATTTTATGGTATGCCAATCCCATCCTATCTGAAGGCGAGCTCTATGATGAATGAGCCGCGATACTCCCCGTCCCGAATTCCTTTCCTCGTCCCTATAATGCATCGTTGAGTCCATCTAGCCCGCAAAGAAGGGGCCCTCCCAGTTATAACAACAATACCTTGCCCGCACCTGTATGCGCCTAATATGATCGATAGTTAGTTAGTTAGTTACATAATAAAACAACACATGTATGTACCCGTCCGTGCATTCGAAGGTCGTAGCGTATATCACGCCTCGTCATCAAACACGCCCAACGGCCCCTTAAGCTTCGTAAACATCTCGTCGCGCTCGCCCTCGGCCGTACTCAGAGCGGTAACCGCGCCACCAGCACCGATATGCCAGACCTCGTGCTCCTGCTGGTTCTGTCCCTCGACCGTCTCGTCGTCCCAGCGGAACAGGCTCCGGATCGTAACGCTCCAGTCACCACGGCCCGCGGCGTCCATGTAGCCCACCACGCCTGAGTATAAGCTCCGCTCATGGTGACCTTCGATCTCGTGCAGGATCTCACAACTGCGCTTCTTTGGAGCGCCAGTCATGCTACCGGGAGGCAGGCTTGCGGCTAGAACATCGAGGCCAGTTTTCTTTGGCGTCCTGCCATTGCTGGTATCTTGTAGCTGGCCCTCGACGACGCTGATCATCTGGAACACGCTGGCGTACTCCTCGACGATGTTAAGCTTAGGGACGGCTACGCGGCCGGATCCACATACGCCGTGTAGGTCATGTCTCACGAGGTCGACGATCATAAGGTTCTCGGCTTCTTCTTTGGGTACATGTAGGATGGCTTCGGCCTGTGCGAGGGTCGAGACGGCGCTCGATTTACGCACTGTGCCTTTCATCGGACGCATTGAACATAGACCGTCGGCGCTGAACTCAAGGAACCGTTCCGGTGAGCTGCTGATCAGCGTTGCACCGCCGAGGCGGATGTACGAACCAAAGGGGGCAGGCTGGCGGGAACGCAGAGAACGGTATAGCTGCCACGAAGTCTGAGGTGGTTTTCCAGATTCGAGAGGCATTAGGGGACAGGATTCTAGCGCGGGGGATATTTTCGGTCGCGTGATATGCGTCTGGTCTGTCAAGCACAATTCATACGAGTCACCCGAGGCAATGAAATCCTGACACTGTCGGACCTTTGACTCATATTCGTCAGCGTCCGGCACTTGTATTTGTGTTTTTGCAAATATGGAATCCGGCGTTGATGGTGGTGTAAGCTGGCTCAGTTGTGTACGCTTGTTGAAATCCGCGCGAAGCCCATCTGACCATACTAGTGAAGTTGAAAGCTTGTCGACGATAGAGTCTGCCCAGTCGTTTCCTTCAGACTCTATTGGCGATAAGTGCTGGACGCGTAAGGTCCCTTCTGTATGATCTATCACGATACTTTTGGTAATCCAGGCGAAACAGAGATCTGGTCTGTTGTGACGCCTTTCTTCGTGAGATTTGACATCAATACCTTCTAATCCAAGTTCGTAAGTGGTATAGCCCATGAACCCGCCAAGGAAAGGTGCTGAGTGATCATCGGGTGCCACTCTGCGCTTAGTCCAGAATTCGGTTAATAGTTGCCATATCGTTTGCCCAGGGCTGAGATGAACTTTTTCGGACCGGAGAGGCTTTCGAGAACACGGGCAGCGGGCGATGACATGGCCATCTCCCGTTCTGTATTCCAGCTTTAATGCCTCATCAACATCTAAGGCGATAATGCTATAACGCCCCCGCACATCAACTCCGATTCTATTAGCTTTGGCACTTGCAGAGTCGAGAATGATAAAATCCCTCCTATCACCTTGTAGTATCTCAACAATATCAGGAGCCTCGATATGGATTGGGAGTTTTATAGTTCTCGATTCGTAGTGGCGGTTTGTCTCAAAGGATGCTAGCTTGCTATCGCCATTTTCCAATGAGCGACTATTCAAATCATGTCCATTTAGACCAAGGGTGTCCTTGGCGCTATGTGCGCTAGATTTTGGCAGTCTAGTAATAGAACTGAGCGAGACGGTGGTGGGGTCTGTGATGCGGCCGTTCGTATAATTCCATCGCATGGCCTCGCTAAACCAATTCTTGATTACTTGATGACCTGTTGATTCCGTACATATTGACTCGGGGTGATATTGCAAGGCCCAGAACGGTCTCGTTCTGTGCTTCATACTCATGAGGATTCGCTCTATATAGTCACCTCTCTTTTCATACACCCAGGCCAGAGGAACAACGTCAGGCAAATGCGCAGGGGACGTCCATTTAGACGTTATCCAGTTATTTGCAGATATGGTATCTTGTCCAATATCCGCGTATAGACTGTGGTATAACGTAGCTTTAAAAGGTGGAACACCATAGAAGATATTTCCCTCATTTAAGCTAGGTTGTTCAGCATCATGGTCGATTTCCCGAATCATGCCGTGAAGGCCGGTCTTAAGTTTCTTCACAATTCCACCACAGCCGACAACTAGGCTTTGAAACCCCAAGCATATTCCGAGAACCGGGACTAGATGCGCTGGTTCGAGGTCCCAAATGTATCTCATAAGCCCCACATCTTGAGGCAAATTAGGCGATCCGGGACCCGGGCCACAGACGACAGCATCATAACGACGCAGCAGATTAGTCAACTCGTGAGCAAAATCTGGGGCTTGCGGGTGAAGCTCAGGAGGATCAATAGGTAAGATGTCAACACGGGCTTGTAACGTCGTTGTCAGAAGAGAAACGATATTGTTACTAAAAGAATCATAAGCGTCAATGAAGAGGATCTTAGGTTTGTTCATATTGAAATCTGCGAGAATATGCCAACCTTGGCTTGGTTGTACATGATGGACGTTTTGTTCCACGGTTTCCACGATTACATGTATGTATATAATAAGCGCAGGTGTGCAGGTGTGCAGGTGTGTCGAGTGATTTAATCTCATTCGCCAAGATGATAAATAATAAGTAAGCCCGACCCGAGTTAGAAGAATTTTCTCAAGGATTAAGGATTAAACGTGAGGAAAGACAGGGCATGTTTGCAGCTGACAACGGGCACTAGCTTAACCTAGTGGACAGGTAGTTAACATAAAAAAGACTAACATAAAAAAGACCAACATAAAAAAGGAGCGACAACCTCAGCTACGAATACGGGTCCGAGAGGAAGCGGCTTAAGCCGAGCCTCCGGGATCACCATAACTTCTTATCTCTATAACCATTTAACTTCCTGGCCATACGGGGCTCAATCCGGGACCAATCCGAGACCAATCGCTATTCGATAACCTATCAAATTGTTCCAGACGTGAATTCCCTAAGCCGAAGACAAACTGAGCCTGGTGCATGTGTTACACCTAAAATAAAAATAAACCTAGGTAGCTATGAAGTATCTCACCGCGTATAATGTCTGCAATTATAATATATCACTTAGGTTCCCAACTTCTACGGATGCGAATCGGGCATAAAAAGCCGAGCCAGCTCGACATCGCAGACCTCGTCGGGGTTGCACACAGATAGGATACACCAGTTTCGCATCGCGTGGAATGAATGGTGCTATCTCAGCAAATGCAGGTAAATTCTGCGCCAAGTATCGATATATACTTAAGTAAGTAGCTTTCGTAATGCTTCTAATGCAACGACTCCTTCATTCATTACCCCAATTTAATCCATAACGCGCGTCTGAAACCTTGTATTCCCGTAAGGCCTTGAGCGCACCCTCGGCATCGTTTGCCGTAACCAAGATATCGGCATTGCCTGCTTTAACGAAACCCTCGTCGACGGCCGTCTTAATCCACTGCGTCAAGCCGTCATAGAACCCGTTTATGTTCAATAAGCAAACACCCTTGTCGTGGATGCCCAGTTGGTTCCATGTGGCAGTCTCGAGTAGCTCTTCCATCGTGCCGTAGCCGCCAGGGAGCGCAATGAAGCCACTTCCAGGTCCTCCTTCGATTACTTCTCTTGCCATCATCTGTTTCCTCGTATGCATGTCTTTCACAACCGTCGTTCGGCCGTAGATCTGCTCCTCCGGAACGTGATATCCGTTGGCATCCTTCATTGACGAATAAGTCGCATCTCGTTCCCATTTCACTAACGCTTCGGGGATGATACCGTGGACGGCATCGGGACCTGATATCGATACTATTGTCTTGGCTACTTCTCCCATCAATCCTACTGTGCCACCTCCGTAAACTAGAGATAGGATATTAGCTTAGGTACTTATGCTTCAAATAATAAGACTCCCTGTATCCGGACAAAAGAGCATACCTAAAGAGATATTATTCTCTGCCATAAGCCTGCCCAGCTCTTGAGCTGCTTTGATATACGCCGGCTTGTTCCCGGGCGACGAGCCGCAGTAGACGCAGATCTTGGCCGGCCGCGGGGTGGCGTTGGAATTCGGACCGGACGTCATCGTATTACGAACCTCAGAATGTCTGACAGAAGTGGGGTCTATCGAGATGGGTGGCCGAGACTTGAGAATGTAGAGAGGTGAAAATGACCTAGACTATCTTATAAAGGTAGGTAAAGAGATGTGCTTCCTAGAGCCGGCTACCAAGAGAAGAAGAAAACGGGAAAGTTGGGCATAAGGCGGAACAAGCTCAGACTACCAAGATGGATGGGTGGAGGCAAAGATTTTTATGATAAGACAAGTTAAGCTGGGCAGAGGAGCTGGGCAGAGGAGCTGGGCACGAAGAGGCGAGTGCTGTTTCGGGAGGCATGTAAGATATAGAGTCACTAGCACAAATCAGACCTCGCAAACAACCATGGCAAAGTATAGAGGCGCAACGAGGAAGTGTTTGTGTGTGGCGGGAAGCGGCATCTGAATCAAAGTCAAGGTGGGACTTGGGCGTTGAAGCGATGAATCTCCGTTTTGGCTGCCATTTTTTCTTTTGCTAGGCCCGAGTCACTAAAGTCCATCTCACCAATGACGTAGCTTAGTCGACAATAATGAATTTTCTGGTGGCATGGCATGGCATGGCAGGGCAGTATGGCGCTTTTAGTTGAGGTACCTATCTTGATTTGCCGAGGGGCCAATTATACGTGTATGGCATATGTATGAGTGAGTGTAAAAAAAAAAATATGTCTTAGGCGCGTCTTGGACTGCATTTGGGTGTTGTAACACCTAAAACCCAAGCCTCGAGTCATTCTGGCAAATCATTTCGGGCAATGATAAAAGGGAGAACAAATTGTAAAATTGGTCCCCTCCTTGCCAGCTGACATGGAAATGCAAAGTAAGGCAATGTCGCACTTGACAAGTCAGCCAGGTTTACATAGGTACCTAGGTACCTAGGTATCTATAGTACAGGCCTGCATCTAACCTAATAGAAGCACGTAGTGGTGACCTAGTCGTGACAGACTTTCGAGGGGTCCTGTTATCCCTCTGAGTTTCTCTAGGTACAGGCTTATGTCGTGCACCAGCATCGGATTGTGATTCGCCGATCTTACCGCTGTCGGAGGGGGTCCAGGCCAACCAGAGCTGGCTAGAACCTTATCGATCGGGATTAGGTACAGTACCTTCAACTACCTCATATGTATGTCTTATCAAAAAAAAACATGTACTCTATTCTTTTTTTCCTGGCGACGTTCTACAGAGGCATAACAACCTCTGCCTAATTCATCACGATCCCAACCAAGTATCGATTAAGGTCGCATACACCTTGAAAGACTTCCTAAATAGTGCATATTCCTCAAGTCTGTATCACAGCCTGGGCATCACTACTAGGAGAAATGCCTGAGGCAAACGCCGCTCCCGCCGGGGACGCTCGCGAAGGGCAGGGCGTAAGTTGTCGCGTCACAGTCTTTCTTAATAGCGACTTGGATACCGAAACTAACACCAACATCTCTTAGTCGGTAGTCGGGAAAATCGTCCAGGGTTTAGCGATATGGTTTGGCATGCAATTGCTAATGAAGCAGCTGACGGGCGGCAATAAGACACAAACCGCCACCGTTCAAGACGCCTCCGGCAATGCTGTACAGGTACCCGCAAACACTGGCGATATACCTGCTTACCAGCTTCGCCCGCAAACTCTCGACGAAGGCGCCGTTTGGAACCCCATTCCACAGCGGCTCGCGCCTATCTGGCCTGATGATAGTCCCGTCGATATTGTCGTTACGCTCTCGCCGTCCTTCATGCCCACCAAGATCTCTGATGTGCCAGAGGAATACGTTGCCCTTAGCGAGAAGAATTTCAAGCTGAGCAACTCGAGTGACACACGGGTTGCCGAAGGTACTTTCAATGTGCCTTCGGCCGTTCAGAAGAATGGGACGCTCTGGGGACACTTCTATATTGGACTCACAGGAGCCAATCTTGACCCTAAGGAGCCAGGATTCGATCCGGCGAAGGCCTTCCATTTCGTGCACCCCTTGACGCAATATATTCCGAAGAAGAAGGAAGCAAAGACCCGTAACTTGCTAGAAGGACGGTCTGAGGCGGAGGTAGAGGAAGAACCCGAAGAACAAATCACCGGCCCAATCATCGCAAGCTACTATCATCCCAATACTAGTTTATCGTTTATTACCGGTATGGGCGTCTTAACCTATCCACAATTGCAGCCAGCTGTAAGACAATTCGTACATGTAGAGGTAGGGTCCTAGCTCCGTTGAACCCGCCACGCCAATGCTAATATCCTACAGCCTATGGGTGCTCGCGATGGTTCTGGGCAGAATTCTTGGTACTGTAGGTTGCCTCTCATCTAGGGGTTTATTCTCTTTCGCTTAAGTGGGCATATAAAGGCTAACATCTGTTGTAGACCCCATCTTATACGTTAATACGTTCTGGCAACTCAAGAGTCATATGATGCTTCTTAATGAAACTGTCAAGACACTGCCTATACGCATCGATCTTGGTAACCTAAAGGGCTTATATTTCAACGTCATGGCTACGATGGATTTCAACTCTAAGCAGCAACAACTCCAAGCTGCGTATGGCGCGCCTATGACAGGTGGCGGCGATGGAAGCGAGATTGATATGATCAAGGAGATGCTATTAGACACGAACCCTTATCTCATTGGTGTAACAGCAGTCGTGAGTATCGCGCATATGTTCCTCGAGATGCTCGCTTTCGGATCCGATATCGCCCATTACCGCAAGAAGAAGGACAACGTTGGCATTTCGGTTCGCTCGATCCTGGCCAACGTCTTTATGCAAGCGGTCATCTTCCTCTACCTGATCGACAATTCTCAGAATACCAGCTGGATGATTCTCGCCACTCAAGGTATTGGCATCTTCATCGAGTTCTGGAAGATTACTACCGTTGTGGATGTCAGAGTGCGGCCAGCCCCACCAGGATCATTGATACCGTACCGGATCGCGTTTGAGGATAAATATAAGCTTAGCGAGACTGAGGAGAAGACGAAGGAGTATGATGAGATCGCATTCAAGTACATGTACGTCGCCGCGGTCCCTCTACTCATCGGCTATGCCATCTGGTCGCTGGTCTACGAATCGCACAAATCGTGGTACTCGTATATCCTCACAACCCTGGTAGGGTCTGTATACGCATATGGTTTCTTGATGATGGTGCCTTCGCTTTACATCAACTACCGGCTTAAGAGCGTTGCCCATATGCCGGGTAAGGCAATGCTTTACAAGTTCCTGAACACATTCATCGATGATCTATTCGCCTTTACCATCAAGATGCCGTTTTTGTATCGTCTAGCCACCTTCCGAGATGATATCATCTTCTTCATCTACCTGTATCAGCGTTGGGCATACACGATTGACTACACCCGAGTCAACGAATTCGGCCAGGGTGGTGATGAAGAAACCGAGGAGACTAAGGCCGAGCCTAAGTCATTACTAAACGCCGAAGCTGTCACGGAGAAGGTCGAGGGCACCGCGAAAACTAGCGGTGCGGACACCGGCGCAGCGAAAAAGAGGAAGTAGAGTAACATGAGCTTTAGAGGATAACATGTTTACATGCATCTTTGACATAAAGTTATAATACTTAATGTTGGCATATAGAAATAGAGTACTGCACCAAGCAGAATTGTCCGGAGGGAAGTCCTCTTCATCGGTTATACTCGGTGTGGTATGTTAGACAACTTAGTACTATAGTCTCTAATTGCCCAAAATGCCTATCATGCATCTATCATAAATTCGTACCACCTATCGCCAATCACATGCATAATAGCATAATAGTATTGTATTGTACAATATCAGCCCTACGCACATAGACCTAGCAAATCGCTAGCAATTACCTAATTGAGGGACCCGAGATATTCTACGCTAGACCAAATATATACTAATTAAAGACACGAAACAAAAGTACCATGTATATTTATGTAGATCTCTCCGTGTCTAGGCTATTGCGAGCTTCTGTTCCATGCTCGTTGTATTGTACAAGTAGCAGAGTTCGGACGATAAGGCATTTCTCTATTCATTTTCTTTTCTTGTAATTCAATATCCTGCTCTGCCCCCGACATACGAATCAGTGCAGGAGTATTATTTAAATGTACGAACTTAGACGACAGAACCGCACTGCTCCTTAAACGTTCTGATAACACTATCTTATCTCCCCGTCCCTTACATCTCGATAGCCGGTAGCCAGTTGCCGGTCTAGATCCGTCTCCCCGAGCTTTAACTAAAACGATAGGTAGTTACGTACCTAGGTACCTAGGTAGAAGGTCTAATTATCACCCTTTTAAGTTTTGTCGTTTAGCGACGGTTCGCAAAAAAGGAAAATATAAAGGAGACCAACCAGATATTATACACGAAAGGTTCCTCGATTCGCTTAGGAGACATCTACCTCCTTTTTTCCCTTCCAAGTTTTCACCCCACACACCTTTCCAGAGGAAGACGGAGGAAGGGGACGAGGCGTGCCAGATCGGATCGCGTCACGTCGGGAAGCACAAGCACAAGCACAGGCAACTAACCGATATAACCGATAATTCACACGCCGCCCTCTCCGCCGTTTTGGGGCGAGAGAGTATAACTCCAGGTAGGACATGAGCCACGAGACCGTTGGCTCGCTCCTGGCCGTCATCGCGAACTCGCTTAACGATGGCCTGCGCATCATGATGTTCGCCGACAAGCGGGCCTGGGGATCTGACGAGTTCGAGCAGCTACGTCTGCTGGAGGAGACTCTCGACGAGGCTAAGAAGGACTTCCAGGAGCTGCCTGCTCTTGTTAACGGGAGGTACTACTACGAGAACGACCGCATAGGTATGTTAGGTGTTCCCCCCCCTTTCCCATCCACTAAACCTTCCATTCGCGATAGTCTACAAACATATCGTTGCCTAATCGTTGCCTATATACCATCTCCTTATTCCTTTTCCTTTAGAAAAAACTACCTGCCTGCTCCCCGAAAGAGAAGTTGACCTAATAAGCCTAATTCTGCTTTGCGCCCCCAACAGACGAGTCCCTCGAAGACCTCCGCATCCTATGCACGCGCTTCGAGCTGCACACGCAGACCTTTAAAGACTGGGTGCGCCACGGCGGCTCCATAGACCCGTCCTGGGCCCACGAGACAACCACCCTCCGACGCGAATTGCACCGCGCCCAGTGCCGCGCCGCCCGACGCATACACAGCGCGCAGCAGATCGAGACGTCGGCCGAGAGCGTAAGATGCCTCGGCGCCTTGCAGGTGTACCGCGTGCAAAAGGGGCGCGACGTGCGCGTCGAGGACGAGCGGGCTGCGTGCGCGCAGGCAGGCCGCTTCGAGAGGTACGCGGAGAGAGACGTAGCGTTCGTGTGCGATTTCTGCGACGGGTTTCTAGTCTGGGAGGACCTGCGCGCGGTCCCGACGACGCGGATAACTCAGCCTCCCCCGCGCAACGACGATCTCCCCGCACCCGTTACGAGCAACACGACGAGAGCCAGCGAGACCGGCAGTAGTAATAATAGTAATAGTAATAATCCCGGCGCCGGCGGTGATACCGAGACCAACCCCGCCACCGCGAATTGGCAAGCCCGGGGCATCGCCCTCTCCAACGGCGAGCAGAAGACGATAGTATTCGCGCCGATAGCCGTGGCAAACCACGTGCCTCCGGAGATAGGCGAGTGGCGCTCGCGGATCCTATGCCCGCACTGCGACGAGTACTACTACGAGGAACAGGGCGACGGCGACATGGAGCGCGTGCGGTATACGCAAGGCCGGGGGTTCGAAAGCGTTGCAGCTTTCCAAGAGCATCTGGAGTGGACCCATGCGTCCATGGTGCCGAGCGCTTCGAACTGCCGAGTTATGTAAAGAGGGAACAGGGGACCAAGTAAGGGAGGCTATTTGAATTCCCACGTTGGGAGCTTAATTTGATTAATTACGTTACGGCGTTCGGAGCCTGTGCATTGAATCAATTGGGTCCTGTTTACATATGTACCTACCTACTCTATCGCAGGTCTAAAAGAGCAAAGGCGAAACGAGGCGAGGCGAGGCGTTCAGGCGTCCATCAAAAAGGAAGAAGGGATCTTATCTGATTACGGCCCTACTTGTAGATATCTAGCATCGAGGCCTATAGAGGGGAGGAGAGGGGGGGATGCAGGCTGAGCATTCAACAAGCCGAGTAAAGGAAAGGAAAGGAACTCAATAAAGTGGTCTGATTAATTTGGATATTAGGACTATGTGCTCATGGGGAGCTATTCTCAAGACTCTCCCGATGCTATAGTAACTAACCTACTATACTACATACCCGAGTTCGAGTTCAAATTATACACTTGAAATTTGAATTCGTGCGTACCCGTCCGTACTTGTCTTCTCCTTCGTGCTGCTCGTTGGTGATACATGTCTGCATATGTATGATATACATCAGCCCTGAATGGACTTTGCATAGTTCCCCTCTCCCCATTCCTGTCCCCTTACCCCTTACCCCTTACCACTACCCACTCCGTAACCGACCTCAAAAGAACCGGAACCAAATAAACACCAGCACAATCAGCACAAACACGCCAATAGGCGCATACTGCTTGATCAGCAAGTCCCAATTGATCTTCACAGCCGCCTTCCTATACTTGCGACTATCATCCTTAAGCCGCGAGCTCATCTCGCCCATGCGCTCCAGGCTATCTCCGCGATACAGCAGATCCTCGATATTCTTGGTCATGACCTTGGTCACGTCGCGCAGCTCGTCGTTCAAGCGGCCCAGGCCCTGGGTGGCGCGGGCGTCGGCGTACAGGGCCTTGGTGCGGGTGATGAAGGTGTCGAATTCCATGAAGGCGTAGGGGCGCAGGGACGGGGAGTGCAGCTGGGGCGCGGGGTAGGACTGGGCGAACTCGGTGGAGAGGTCGGAGAGGTAGGTGAATGCTAGCTTGCGCGGGTAGGAGCGCTCGCTGATGCAGATGTAGACTATGTCGTTGGCGATGAGGTAGCTGGGAGGGGGGGGGGAGAGGAAGGTTAGCTAGGAGTTGGAATTGGAACTGAACTGAACTGAACTGAACTGAACTGGGGGGGAAGTCGGTTGGCATGGTTGGGAGGGGAGGGAGTGAGTGAGGGCGTACTGGATTGTGTAGTTGCCGCTTTCGATGCTGGCTTGGGGTTCGGCGTTGCGGTTTAGTCGTCGTAGTATGATTTTTGTTTGCGACTTGACTTCGGGGAGAGAGGATTCTGACTGTTTGGTGGCAAGATGGTTAGTATAGAATAAGATATGAATATTCCATAGGTAGCTAAACGGAGGAGGACAACAACGTACTTGTTGTTCGTCATCAACAGATGCGCAGAGCATCAAGCCTGAATTACTATTATTAGTCTAGGCTTCGAGATGGGAGGCATGGCTTATAGGTCCATGACACATACCATCGCCCAAACGGGCTATCTGGGTTGACCTGATCATCTTTCGAATCGTGTGGTCGCGGTTTGTTGTGTTGTTTGGCGCTATTCAACGTGGTGATAGTATCTGGAGTATGTAGCGTTACGTGTCTAAAAAGACAAGCTACAGGCGCTTCGACAATCAAGTAAATAAACCGATATGTTGTTATCCCCTAGGTCTCAAATAAATAAAATTAACGGTTAACGGCTGCTTGCTTCGATATGGCCCCTTTTCACATCTCAATTTGAGGGGTAGTCACTACCTAGGTTAGGGAAATGGTGGTATATTAGTTTGGTGAAGTTATCTCCAATATCAAAGAGTGTTGATTAACCAAGGCAAGGTTGTCCAGTTGAAAGTCGGGAATGCAACGTCAGGGGATTGCAAGGATGAGGATTGGATAATTCGGCAGTGGGACCAAGCTAGGGGAAAGATCTCTTATCGATTACAGGTGATGACAGGGCTAAACGAAATCCAGAATAGGCTTAAAATAGCAGTAGCCCACCTATCATTCGCGCCAACCAGCCGTTATTTCCCTTTTAGGCCATGCCGCATTTACTTACATCTCGTCGCAGTCGCAGTTGCAGTCGCAGTTGCAGTGGCCGAGGCTGCGACTGCCTCATAATTACCATATATCAGGTGTACTTCGTACAATGACAAATAAAGCTTTCAGACCAAAAGCCACGTCCTTAATTTCACCCTTCTCCAATTACTCTTGTTCTCTTTTGCCATAATTCCTCACTGCCACATTTATTGATTTCTCGGTGCTGTTATGAATTAATAGATGCTTCCTTTTACTACCTAGGTACCTACCTTATCTCTCTTTCTCTCTTGTCTCTAGTTGCAACTCTTTTTTATTTAAGAGCCCGCCTCTTTATATTCACCTCACACTATCATACCATCTTCACTTTTCCCTTACTTATCTATCCCAGACCATTCAAATATGCCTCCTCGAAAGAGAACTAAAGGTGCGACCGAAGAAAAAGCCGAAGAGCCCATCAGAAGATCAACCAGGGCATCCAAGAGATCTGCTCCTGCACATATTGACTCCTCTTCGGATGAGCTCTCTTCCAAAGACTTGGCTATTCGTGAGCATGACGTGAAACTTTCAGACACCAAGGGCCCATCTGAAGAGGAGGTCGGTGATGTGATCACCGTTCGCGTCACCCGCTCCAAGTCTCATGCAAGCAGCCGCCCCTCAACTGCAAAGAGTGACTCCACCTCCCAATCACATAAGCTTAAGATTGTTTCAGCCTCATCTGAGGCAGGAGACGTGGACATATTTGATATCGACAATGACGGGAAGGGAAATAAACTTGCTCTCGAGGGGCCGGCCACGAAGAAGAGCAAGCCCAATATCAACGAGAAGCCTTCAAGCAGTCGAAAGTTTAGATACAAGTATGACAACCCTGACGAGATGCTTACAAACCCCCTATCGCCGCTAGCAACTGCCCAGCTTCGAGTAAGTGAATACCCATCTCCTATCTTTGTCACGAATAGTTATATGCTATAAGCTATTCCTCTCACATACAACTACACATATCTGATATACGTGGTATTCGTACTAAAGCTTCACAGGAACTACTTTGCAGTAATGTGGCTTGGGACCTATTAAGTTCAGAGGAGAAGCAGCAAGTACTTGCAAAGTTCCCGGACGAGAAGGAGATTCTCGATGCCGGCACAGAGAACGCAAGACCAGACATCGCAGCCCTTAGAAACAACAACAACTTCCGGCACGATATAGTGCGGTACCAGAATGACCTGAAAAAGGGATGGCACGACCCGGAGTGGATCCGACAGGCACAATCCGCTCATAGCAAACGCGAGATTGGCTTCTACAACGAGTATATTTCGGATCGTTTCCAGGAGGATTGGAACATGGAAATGCCGGGAGAGGAGGATAAGAAAGATAGACAACATGTCGAGGGACATCTAGAAGTGAAAGTACCTGAGAAAGACGGCAATGCTCAAGAAGAAGGTCGAGAACGAGATGACGAAGCACAGAGGAGCGGAGAAGACCAGAATCCGGACCCAATGAAGGGTGTGACAGACACCTCTCAGGCAAATGGAGACGAACACTTGGACAAGACATCGGAGCAGGTCAAAGGTTTGAAGGAACAGACTGGTGATGTGAACAAAGGTGGGGATTCGCAGGAGCGTCCTTCAGACACGACCATGGAGACCATGTAGGATGAAAGGTCCCGGTAATTGTCTTGGCAAGAAGCCATATTGGACACTATGATAATGAAAGGTACCACGAAGCTCTAACGAAAATTAAATAATAATACACCACATTTAGGAAGTGAGAATCCCTAGTATTCTTTATTACCCATTCGGTGTACATAATACCCCGTATAGCCATTACTTTATAGTAACTATCTTAGCTTTCTCTTTTTTTCTTACACCGCTATATCAACTACCACCAGCACAGTACAAGTCCCACCATCGTTCAACAATCATTTCATTCACAATCCAGTTTTCTCGAAGGTGAAGTAAATATACCTAGGAAATATTCAAGATCAAGAGCTCTAATAACGAATAAATTCTGCTCTGCCCGAGCAATAGAAGGAAAAAGAATATATAGCTGGAAGCCAATATGCTTTTTACTTAATATATATAGGTATATATATGCCAGCCAACATCATCTATTCCAGGACAAATCGAGGTAGACCATTGATAGCACTTCGTTAACCCAAGATAAAATTACGAAGTATGGTTAGGGCTATCTCAGATTAGGTAGGTAGGTACTCGATTGAACATGAGCTGCTTGTATGTACATATCTAGGTAATCCTAAAATACCACTCTCCTTGAATACATACCTAGGTACACCAGCAAAACCGAGTATTACACACTCACACCATTCACACAAACCACCTACACCCACTCACCGCCCATGCGTCCACGCAATCTCAGTATCCAAAACGTGTAGTTAATCGTCACGCTCGGACACAATGTAACTAGAACGGGACAGTATACGCGGCAGTTGACCCCCCCAAAACCGCCTTATCAGGGACCAAACTATGTCTGTCTGTTTGATTAGTTAGGTGATTATGTGTAGCTGTAGCTGTAGCTGTAACTGCAACTGTAACTGCCCCGGGATCTCATCTCATAACCAGTTACTTCGCTTCATTCATCTAGTAGTTATCTCTCTCTAAAACGTCCTCTCTTTTTATACATACATGTACCTCCCCGATCGCGGGACTATCCGCCGTTCACGTTATGTTATGTTACGTTACGTTACGTCGCATATACTCTCCTATCCCCTTCCCTCCCTCCTCCCTTCAACCTACTTACTCACGCCCCCTCCCTATCCCTACCCTTATCCCTCACGCTAACAAAGCACGGGCGTCGAGAATGCCACAAGCGCCTCTCCTTAGCACCCAGGACCGTATCCATTAGGATCTCCGTCTCGGAGCGCAGCGGGCGGCCCCTCTCCTTATCCCCATCCTCCGGTATCCAGAGCTGCGTCTCCTCGACTGAAGCCGAGATCTCAAACTCCCCGCGACACAGGGCCGTCACACCGAGCACGACTTCGGCGCTCGATTTGGCTTCGATTAGCGGCAAGGTTTGCTGCAGCGTGCCGTTCCACGCGAACTTGCGCGTAAAGTCGAGGGCTACGTTTAAGGGGCGATGGCATAGCGAGGGCATGAGGCGCAGGGTAGGGTATACAGGTTCGTTCATGCGGTTCGTGATGACGACTTTGACTTGGGCGAACTCGTTTGTGAAGATTGTGCTTTTGCTTTCCCGCGGGGAGTCTTCTTCGTCTTCGTCGTCATCTTCCGGATCCTCGATAAAAATATCAATCCCAACCTCGTCGATCTTGATCGCCTCGATCATACGCGGCGCGAGGCGGATACCGCGTAACTCGATGGTTCCTTCTCTCGAGGGTCCGGACAGAGTCCTCCATGAGCCGGATAGCTTTTCTAGAACCTTCTCGCGGTACCAGAATGCTTCGCGATTGCCGCGCTCTATTTCCGGTGTGATCTTGCTGCTGCTGACGACGAATTGCCGTTGGCGAGAGGGGTTGAGAGCCGGGATTGATGCGTGGGGGTCCTCTATGTATACTCTTGGAACGGGGAAGACGACGCGGTTAGTATTTCCCGGTAGGATATGCTCCTTTATCATGATACCGCTCTCTGCCGCGAGGCAGACTTGCATATCACTTGGCCAGGCATTCCGGAGATCTAGTAACAGAAGACAGTACTCTTCATCAGAGAGCGAAGTCTCTATTTCCGCCGCCTCCGCACCCACGCGAGACCAAATGGGTTTAGGTACACCATTTGTGAGGGGTAGAACGTCCATCCTCGCGAGTTCTATGCTCGCGTTGACGGTGATAGTTAAGTCGAGGCAGGTTTGGCGGGTGTAGAATTGCTCGGTAATTTCGGATTGGGGTACACCAAGGTATGCGTAGTCGACTTGGATAGTCGCATTGGTAAGGCCAGGCTTTCCGAGAATCTCGAAATCAAAAGTAGCCGTGCCTCCAGGTGCTATGTACCTCTCAGAGTCGTTGGTCTTGCGCAGTCGCAAAGCCTGTTTCCTTGCCAGGATGAGTTCATACTCGTATAATTCCGCAGGTGTTGCGTCTCTACTTGTCAATGCTATTTGTAGGGGGCCTTGCGTTGAGTCTTGGAAAGAGAAAAGCAGTAGATCCGCTGGCGTAGATTGTGATAAGTTTTGTAGCGTCACCGAAAATACCTGGCGCTCTCCTTCTAAAATCATTACTGAATCCTGAAGGAGAGACGTAGATTTAATAGCAATTATAGGCTGTGCAGGGATAGTGCTTAGTCCAATGCTGTCCGGGCTCAACAAAGGCCCAGAAAAGGGCAACGTCTTAACCTGCTCTAATGAAGCCAACCCGATCCCCTTAACTTTGGTTTCCGTATCCGGAGCCCATGGCTGAGGGAAGATGGGAAATCTTCTTTCGCGGCATCCGCGTACCTTCACGATAGCCCCCTTTATCTTCAACGGGCCTGCAGCTCTAGGGGTGCCAGTGAGCTTCAGGATCTGTGTACGATACGGCCCTATTATCGTGCTTGTTGTAGACGACTCAAAATCGGCCCCTTCAGCATCTAATTTGATACTCTCAATATCGACGTCGATTTCATAGGGGTTCTGAAACGTAACCCTAAAAACTGCTGCTTCTCCAGCAACAAGTGTCCTCTCCACCGCCGCCTTATCCGAATCTCTTATAAATGGGTTGTAGATGAAAGGGTTTACGTCTTGCGAAGTGCGCGCCGTTGTCACACTTGGCAAAACATGTTTGGAATGCGGTATGGGTGTTCTACTTTGCGGCAAAGGATCCATTGTGATCCCCCGGACGAGGAATTCGTCCCAGTATTCTCCAGAAAGGCTTTCCAGACCTAGCCTCTGAGATAAGCCAGACGTCTTTGAGATATTATTTGCCAACCTGATCTGCTCGTCTCTTGTAATTATCGGTGCCGCATCTTCCCGACGCGGTCCTGGCGCAACTCCGCTTCCGGCAGTGCGCAACAGATCGCTCGAAAACTTCAATACGCCATTAAAGTCTGGTAAAGCCTCAGAGAAATTAATGCAAGCCCGCAGGACGTTGAGCTTGATATTTTGAAATCCAAACTGCCTAATTGCCGCTTGACTCTGAATTCTCGAGATGACTTTTTCGTCTGTGTCAGCCGCTTGATGCGATTCAGAGGCTTCACGCGTGTCCTTGTCGAAGCTGATAACCCCATAGATTTTGGATAGTAGCCCGAGAAAAGCGTCGATCCCATGTTCTATATCTCCCTCTCCCAGATCAAGGGACCCGGCACCATTTTCGTGACCAGCATTGAGCGCTATTAGACCGGCCGCCGGATGAATACCGACTTCAGCGGCGCCTCGTGTTCTCGCTTCAACCAATCCTCCGATTAATACCGACACCAATTCTCGCACAACCATGGCCTTTTTTCTATGGAAGCCTAGTAAGCCAAGGATAGTAGAAATTCCGCTAAGAATGATTGCACGGTCTACAGTTGTAAGCAATTCCGGCGCAGACGATGGGAAAGCCTTAAATAACAAAGTTGCGATTTGAGCGCGGGGGGGGACGATAATTAGGCGAGGTGATGTAGTGAGAGTGTTTGTAGGCAGATCACCGAGGACGGCTTTTCCCAGGGCTTTCTTATCAAGCCTGCCTTCGCACAAATAGAGAACTGTGAGCAGTGTGCAGAACCTGATGATAGATTCCGAAAGTGGGAATGGGGGAAGCTGTTCGCCAGATATCCTTGAATATAGTGCTATTATTCTGTCAAGCAGATCTGGAAGAATGGCTTGGAGGTGCCGTAGCTGTTTTGGCTGCTCAACGTCGCCCTCTTCGAGTTCTGCTGGGCCTTTAGCTATGGCGCTGATTGACTTCTCGTTCGCAGGTAGGCATATTGCGGGAACTTGAAACTCAACTCCGGCCCAACCAAGTAAGAGTAGACATATCGTAATGAGTTCGAGTGCCTTGCCGTGCCATAGGTGGTCATTGATAGACTTTGCGATAGTTGCACCCTCGATCAGCTCTTTCAGCGCGTCCGTCCACCGACCAGCCTGAAGATATAAGGATCCTACCAAGATTATCACTCGACCTCGGCTTTTATTCCTCCACCTCTCGTTCAAACTACCAGACCCAAAGCCCATTATTGAAACCTTGTCTTGGTTCGCTGGTCTTGTTCCTCCGGCAGAGCCTGGGCGAGATGTCTCAGGGATTGGTGCATCGGGATTGCTTTCGTTCACGGTAGTAGTGATGTCTTCAAATGTGGTTGGCGGGTTAGACAGCCCGCTACGGACGGGAGTTGTAGGCCGTGCTGAAGGAGTCGAGCTGCTAGATCCAAAAGGGAGCGACTTGAAAGGCGCTGGCATGGACATGCGAGCAAGGTTCCTATCCGCAGCACCGCTAGTTGATGCCGACCTTGTAACGGTGGACACGGCGTATTGCGAGTTCCTTCGTGCAGCTGGGTTCGCATCGTCCGAAGTCCAAGACGCTCCATTAAGTCCCGGCCTCGCAGGAGCTTGACCGGGGGAGTCTATAGACGTCGTTCCTTCGAAGGACTTGGCGAGGGTTGTCATCTCCGCTAGCAACAAGGAAGATATATCACACATGATAGTTTTAACCGTAGTTCTATTCGAGTTTTCCACCGGTGGGATTGTTTTGATGCCTTCGGGGATAGGAACCGTACTTTCTGATTGTGGTGCATAGTCAAATATGAGCACTTGATGCGTAAGGATCTTTGGATACGCGTCCCGCAGCTCCTCAAGTTCTTGGTACAGAGTCCTAATATTCCTCTCTACAATAGTCGGCGCATGGCCATTGGCAGATTGTCTCTTGCTAAACGTGACATTTTCGAGCTCCCGGCCGTCAGCGATAGCAATAACCGCAAGTGGTTCACGAAAAAGCTCGAAAGGGGCCAGAGCGAGGTGGGATGGAGGGGGTATGTAGGTGATTAGATCGTAAAACATGGCACCGTCGGGGAACGCGAGGGGAGAGAACATGTCTAAGGAGAATATCATTAGTCTTACGACCCTTTGTGTAGACCATTTAGAGCGTATTACTTACTCCGATTAGGTCGCCCATCGGCGCTGATGTCGCGAAGTTGGACAACATGCTCTTCGTTTAGCCTTTGGACAAAAGACGTAAACCTGTCCCGCTTGATCTGACCGACGGGCAAGACTAATGCCCGTACCCTCGCCGGGGCGATGGGTAACAAGGAGTCCAGGCTCATCCTAACATCTGCCTTGACCTCACACTACCATGGCAGAACAACCGCATGCCTACCGAACCGGGAGCCAAGTACGGACGAGTCGCGCGATTCGTTCGGCCGCCCTTTGCGCAACTCGAGTGCGTCGCAAGCGTTGTCCGATATTAGTGTCTTAGCATTTGTTCGATTTCGGCATACATTCAACTCGTAGGAATAAAGACCGGCTGTATGAGGTGAGGTGATATAGTTTAAAATATCATTTTTTAAGCAGCGAAATCTGGAATGGCGATGAAATGCCCAAGATCAAGCTCCTGAGCCTCGTGCGCCGTTGGAAACATTTGACCAATCAGAGAACAGGAGCTTGGACAGGGATCATCCCAAAAGAGAAGGATGTGTCCGGGGTATCTTGGGTATGTACCTAAGTACCTGAGTACAAGATAATGGATGTACATACATGTAATGATATAGAATATTTATAGTTCTCATTAGAATTATAGTGTTGCACTCTTTTCACGGCCTATAGCTTAGATTATTATACAAATCTCTTAAAGAAATAAAATAATAAAATAGATAGAAAATTTTAAGAGTGATAGCCAAAACTGCGTGTCAAACAGTAAAAACCTCAAATTGTACCCCTCAAGTGTAACTTCAATATTGTCTTTCTTTTCAGGTACAGATATTACAGCTCTAGTATTTTTCGAATTAGATACAAATATTTATACACATAGCTATAGCCAAAGAGAACTGTACAATATCAACCGTCATTGCATGTGTAATGTTCCAACCCGTCCATATATCCCGTTATATCCATACAATGGTATCAACATCCACGATTTGCTAAGACGACGTAACGCTCGGCGAACCTCCCGACCCTTCAGCTTTTCCTTCAGGTTTTAGCTTACCTTGAGTAGCCTCGTTTTTTAGTTCCGAGTCGAAAATATCAACAGCGAGACTCGCTTCGACAAAGTCCTCCAACTCTTCCGTCACCGTCTTTAATTTCTCTTTCACGGCCTCGGCTCCCTCAAAACCCACAATATGACGCGCCGGCGGATTCTCATGCCCGCCGATAGCAGTGAGGGCGTATACCGTTTCACCCACAAGGCGATCCATTGAAGAAGGAGGTAGTTTCGGGTATCTTTGAATAATTTCCGTCTCCGAGGGCTCGACCGCCGTCTCTGAGTTTAGATTTAACACGTTTGTGAGCATATCCCTAACGCTCGGTGCAGGGTTATTCTCGCTGTCATAAACAGGTAACGACGGAGAGAAAATAATCTTGTTAGTCAAGGATTGTATCTCCTTATGTGGCTGTACTATGGTTACTTTAATATTAAAGGGCGCGACCTCGTAAGCTAGTGAATCGCAAAATCCCTCTAGTGCCCACGTTGCTGCTGTATATATAGGCATTCCAGGCGTGCCTATGTGTCCGCCAAGACTAGTGAGGATCATAATGTGGCCGGTATGCTGGGCGCGAAACGTCGGGAGCGAGGCTTTGATGAAATTTACTTGGGAGAAGAAAATGGTCTCGAACTGATCGCGCACGAGATTTTGCGTCGCCGGCGAGGTAGACAGCTCTTCCACGGTTCCAACAATAGCTATTTTCAAACAATCATCTCGTAAGAACTCGGCTTTGCCCTGCGCATGTATATAGGTACATATGTGCAGTTAGGTTGCGTGTGGGAAAGGGATTGCATACCTTCAGATGTGCAACATAGCAATATATCTATGCGGCCAAACACATGTTTGGCCTCCGCCACGGCCGCACTGCATTGACCCATTACGCGGCCATCGCAGCGTATACTCCTAATGCGGTCTTTCCATCCCTCCCGATCTTTTCGATTGCTTTTACACTCATTGACAAGCTCGCGAAACTCGGCGCTACGATCATCGTGCTCGATTTCTTGCGGCGGCAAGCAGGCGACGACATAATCGCCATGAGTGAGTAATTGGCGTATCAATCGAACGGCCAGAGGGGTCAAAGACGAAGTTAAGAACCAAGTTCGGGGGGAATTATGTGTCGCTATAACACGATTCATTAGTCGCGTTTCCGGCAACGAAGCGGGCATTTGGCCAAAAGAACAGGGATTAGCATCTCAAAAGTACACGATGCAGGACAATAGTTATGTTGCGAAGGAATTCAAAGAACAAAGTTATTTCATCGGTAGATTTGGTTCGCGCGCAAAGTCGCACAATGGACGAAAGGAAAGAGTGAAAGGAGAGAGAGAGAGAGAGCTTAGGTAAGGTAGACAAGGTAGACAAGGTATGTAAAAAAGCATGTAAACCTGGAAGGGAAGGCATGTAAAAAGGGCAAGAGGCAAATCTTAGTTCGACGCACGGAAAGAAGCTGCAGGAACAGAGTGCGAATGTCGTGCCGGACCTGACGACTCGGCGTTCTTCCTTTCTGACATTTCCACCTTTTTTTTTTCTTTTTCTTTTTTTATTCCTTGTTTATTTCGATTGCTGTAAAGACAGATCAACAGCACGGTACGGCTGAGGATATCCCCGATTCTACCAGCGATTCGGCATGCCACAACCACGATCGATCGTACCTGGAGAAAATCACAACTGACGGTCAATTCCTCTTTAACAGCCGATGAAGCCCTTCCCCTACCAGCATCACGGGGATGAGGAATTGGTTGCTTTACGATTATGGATTATGTCGAAAGGAGAGGTCGACAGATCCGATACTAAACTATGAAGATAGATCGAATAGCACCCAAAGCAGTTATATTACGTCGTCGTATTACATCATGTACATATTCACGAGTTCGGTGACTACCTCCCTACCTTTGTACTGATCGGTTTACCTCGCCTCTAACTCCCCTAATCGGGGTTTTTGTGCCTCACCCGGCAGTTGTTACATCCCGAAAAGGCCTGGAGGAAACGCCAGGAACATCATTGACCCCACCGCATAAGCTACAGCCGGTATAAGACCTATGGGAAGAAATCGCGATCCAAGATGAAGTTGATTGAGGACAAATATCCCGGCATAGACAGGTTCCGTTTGTTACCAGACTCGAGGGACAGGTGTCAAGGAACCACGTTATGCCCTGTAATGACTGAGTAATAATTAAACGATAGGCATGATGCAACGCCAATGGCTTCTATCGGATGGTGTCCTTGAAGTGCCTTTAGCATCCTTGGAAGTTGGGGTCTCCGGCATCTTCAGCACGGCCGAGGTTGTAGTGTCAGTTCAGTTTCGGCAGCCATTTCGGATATCACTGATGCAATGCAACGGCATCCCAATATAGTATCAGGTCGTCTCTACCGTTTTTGTTGTAGTACCCTCTTTTATTTAGTCGAATCTGGGGAAACCTTGGTCAACATCATTCCAGATGCCGGTCAGATTTTTCGCAGAGCGCTGCATTCACACACACACGGGTGTGTAATATCAAGTGTGCGATCCCTTATGGTATGCAATTATACATTTCCGGGCGGCATGGTATGGTCGCTTATCTGCATCGAATGAAGCTTGTAATTTAAGATAGCGTAGCATCTATCACGAATAGCACTGTAAATATCAATACATAACTAGTATTAGGTAAACATTAAAGTCGGTGATTATTATCAATATTATTTTAATATTTGCTTCAAGTTCCAGACTATAATCTCTTAGTTTGACCCACAGTCGTCATTCTACCAGACCAACAGTTAGTATACCCGTTGGGGAAGTAGCAGCGCGATTTCTTTTCATCCCGGCTGTTCCGACCTCGGGGGAAGGAGACCGGCCGCTTCGGATTGTCACCTGTTCTCACTTGTAAACTACGACCGACTCGATCGCATTTCTTATCCAGTCAGACGGTCGGATGACTCAGCTTTACATGTTTAAACTTAATCTCACTTTCTTCACGATAACTACATGTACTTCCCCTTTGTATTATAAGATTTGATAGTAAATATTGTTTGCTATTTCAATAAGTCCTTCATAATGCCCTCTAGGGCAGATATCACATACTTCGGCGCCGGGCCGGCCTTGCTGCCCACCTCCGTCCTTGAAAACGCCACGCAAGCTCTCCTGAATTACAACGACACAGGACTAGGCATTGCTGAACACTCACACCGTTCTCAACATGCTGCCGATATTATTAACCAGGCAAAGGCTGATCTAGCCAGCTACCTTGATATTCCAGAAGACTATGAGATCCTCTTCATGCAGGGTGGCGGCAGCGGCGAATTCTCTGCTACCGTCTACAACTTCGTTGGCACCTGGGTAACTAAGAAAAAGGCTGAAGTTTTAAAGCAGCTAGGTGCTCAAAGTGAGGAGGAGGCTAATCAAGAAGAGCTCGTATCAACGCTCAAAAAAGCCATTGATGCTGAGCTAAAGTTAGATTACCTAGTAACGGGCGGATGGTCGTTGAAAGCCTACCAAGAAGCCGGCCGTCTGCTAGGCCCAGAATACACCAATCTGGTTACTGATTCCCGAACTGTGAACCAGGGGAAGTTTGGTAAGATCCCAGATGAGAGCACATGGAAGCTTTCCAAAAACGCTGCCATGGTATACTATTGTGACAACGAGACCGTTGATGGCGTTGAGTTCCCTGAGTTCCCCGGCACTCTAGCGCCCGACTCGAATGGTGAAGGCCCCATCGTCGTTGCGGATATGTCCTCAAATATTCTGTCGCGAAGAATCCCGGTTAAAAACTTTTCGGCCATCTTCTTCGGCGCGCAAAAGAACCTTGGCTCGACGGGGGTTACCGTAGTCATCATTAAGAAGAGCTTGCTTCCCCCAGCATGCCCACAGCCTTCAGCGGCGTTGATGAGAAAACTTGGCCTTCCAATTCCCCCGATTATATTTTCTTACGAGATTATTGCCAAGAACAACAGTTTGTACAATACACTCAGCATTTTTGAGTACGAATACCCATCAATTATTAGCTGATTATAAGTGCCTAGGTAGCTAATTTTGCAATACAGTGTTTACATTGCTGGCCAAGTACTCAAGAAACTGCTCACAACGTTTCCGGATAAGGTTGACGGCCAACAAGCCATTGCTGATCGGAAGTCGGAAATCATCTACAAGGCCCTTGAGGCACACCCGAATATCTACAGGATCGTCCCAGATAAGTCAGTGCGCTCTAGGATGAATATTTGTTTCCGCGCAACTGTAGTGAGTAACTGCCAATTTTTAAATTTTTTATTATCGTACTACTGGATCTCGCTAACTCTAAGTATAGAATAATGATACAGATGGTGCTGAAGCAAGGTTCCTAAAGGATGCAACAGCTCTTGGACTCACCGGCTTGAAAGGGCATCGAAGTGTGGGAGGCATCCGTGCTAGCAACTACAATTCGATCTCACTCACCGGGGCCCAGAAACTAGCAGAATTTATAAACAACTTTGCTCAAAACCAGGGTTAACAATCTCGAGTATAAAGATGATGGTGCCAATGAGTACGGCTTTGGTAACCGGTAAACCCGACCCGGAGAAGGACACCGGGAGAACATAGCGGATAGTAGGACTCACTCGCTCCGACGTCAGCATTTGTCTAAATTACTGCGAATTTGAGGTGTCGGTTGCTTTTACACAGCATGGCACGGTAATAGGGTAGCTAAAAGCATTCAACATGGGGGCTGGGTTGTGGCATCTGGTAAAAAAAAATTCAACTATAGAAGCCCTACAAAGATAGGCAGGTAAACATACAATATGTATTTTCATCTAAGCGTCACCATATAACCAACCATATCCTTCGCCTAGTATTTTGATCATATCGCCCATAAACCAGAACTACGCTTCCAACTCGGCTTTCAACCACCCCGGGATCTCTGGCGGCATCTCCCACCCGTCCAAGTACGACTCCTTTGCGACACCTTCGCCAGAGGGCTTGGCGTAGATAGCGGAGATATACCAGACCGTCTCGCCCTTCTTAATAGTATGCTGCAAGGTCGGAATGACCGTCCTGCTCTCGACCAAATTGGAATTCGGATCGGCATTAACCAAGTTAGCTGCACGCTCAACGCCGGTCTCCAGCGCTTTGATACCAACCGCCCCCTTGGACACCGCAAACGCGCCCTCCTTGCCCGTGGACCAGCCATCCGGCGTGTAGAGATCGTAGTTCCCGATGATCTTAGGGAACGTGCCCTCGCCCCTCTGCGCATCGTACAAGTCCAAGTACCGCCCGTCGACCGCGCGCTGATTGCTAATCGCGAACGAGCCGTCGGCCGTCATGACCTCGCGGCCAGCTTCGATGCGGTGCACACGCAGATGCCAGTTCGGGGTAGCCGGGTCGGGAGGGATAAGGGTGGTCCGCACGGTGACGTCGGGGTACGGGGTCCAGATGGAGACTAGCACTGGGGCGTTGTTGTCGCCGCGGTGCTCGAGCCCCGCGTACGCGGACGCGCGCCGCGTCTTCCAGTACTCGCCACCGTCGTCGGAGAACCCGAGCTGCGAGGCTAGTGCGTATTGCTCTAGCGTGAAGAGGCCGGGCGGCACGGAGTATGCGTACGCGCTGCTGTAGGCGAAGGAGCCGTATTTGGCGTGGGTGCCTTTCATGGGGTAGCTGCAGGCTTGGCCGGAGGAGATGAGCATGCAGTGTCCGCCGAGGTAGCTGGATGTGGATGGGTCGTTAGAAAAAAAAAGTTGGTATGGAGGCTGGTGTTGCGATGCTTACCTTGCGATGTGACCTGGTTGTGGAAGCTCCTTTATCTTGGGAATGACGGCCCCGGGGAACTCTTCTTCTGATGTCCAGAATGGGTGGTCGGCGGGCACGGCCAGGCAGATGAATGCTAGACAAGCCCAGTACTTTGACGTCTGTTAGCTGGTGTATATCGCGAAAAACCACATGGGGGACTTACCGGGCTGCCGGGGCTGTTATAGTTCTCTGCCATCTGTCTATTGTGAGCGATTACCGAGGCGCAAACCGAAAAGGGACGGAATATGTTACTTACATACATATTTGGGTAAGAGTACCCAATAGTCAACGTTCCACTTGGACTCCAGATGTCAGGTTGCGTCTGCCACCATCGCAGATGTCGAAGGACTACGCCTTTGACCATGCCCCATGTAAGAGGCTCGGGCAGCTCGACTCCAGCATAGGCTAGAGCACCCCAGAAGGACACCATCGCAAACCGATAGCCTACACTACGACCAAAGGGGATGGATCGACCTGAATAAAAACATTAGACTATAGGAACTAGGAATGCTTAAGAAGTGTTCTCACCTTCGTTGTCGTAGTAGTGGATCAAGTCTAGAGCGACCTGCTGAGCACGCTTCTTGAATTCCTCAGCCCTGGCCGGCTCGTCTTCCCCAGCTAGTTTTGCATAGAGAAGTTGCAGAAACTGGATGGCGAAGCTGGAAGAGTAGTAGTCCATTTCTATAGAAAGCACTGTAAGTCTCAGCCCGTAATTATAAGGAACGTTGAGACTTACGATGGATACCCTCCGGTCCGTCATTAGACCAGCCACCGCCGCGGTAGAAACTGTTCAGGTGTTCAATATCGCGGTCTAGTCTTTCTTGCGAGAACTTGCCTCCGTTCTTTTTCAGCCCGAGGTTTGCAAAGACACGGAACCAGAGCCAATTTGTATTGGGCATACTGGAATATCATTAGTTAGATTGGTTTAGTAGAGCGTATCGTTACATTTCCTTTCCTTACTTCTTCTCGTTTATCGAGTTTCCTAGCCAGTTCTCAACATTTTCCCGTTCTTTCTCGTTGAATGATTGCCAAATAGCCGGAGCGACAGCTAAAGCATAGCCTAGGTACCTATATATTAGCCAATTCCTCGACATTCAAGATGGGCATCATACCAAGAGGGCACATCTCCACCATCCTTTGGTCGTTGTCTCGAGGGTATCCCCAATATTCGGGGTTCTCGGGGTCGGTACCAGACTTGATCCCCTGAATCCACCATTCCGTCCCGTGATACTCACCACCTCCGGCTAGCAGACATGCCAGACCCCAGAGCGGTCTGCATATACCTTCTACCTCAGAAGCAGTCTGGTCAAACCTGACAGCAGTGGCACCGGGGCATTTCACTCTAGCTTTCAACGGCGAGAAGAAGGGCTCGAGGGGATCCAGCAGAGTCCTCAGGAGCTCCTGGACGGAAGCACGATCGGAGATTTTCACCTTGGAAAAGGGGTGGATGCCATCGTAGCCAAGGACGAGGCCGGTCTTGGGCTCCATCGTAATTCAGAAACGACTGATAGCGTAACTACCTACCTATCTACTACTACTACTAGGCTCGAGAAGATAACGACAAACGACAAACGACAAACGACAAAACTTGCAAAGGAAGAAACTAAAGGAAAGAAGACTTAAACATACCATTCTTCCAGCATACTTGCGTTAACTACCTATCTAACCCAGTAACCTACGTACCTACGTGGGGTTTAGCATCGACAGTCGACATACAATATCGCAGGTATGAGGGGTCCCTTGGGGGGTTTGTGGGGTGATAGGTAGTAGATCTGGCGGCTAATATCACGGATTGAACTCGTTTCTAAATCTCCACCAATTGACGCAATGCTGGAGCTAGCCGGTTGTGTAGGCACTATACGGATGGTAGGATGGGCAGCATAGGCCGAAGATTCTACCGGCTCGGTCCGGATTAAAGCGATGGGCTGGGTCTCTGCGATTGAACCTCGCCCTTGAGGTTTCCCATAAGAGTCCTCTAGGTTAGGTTTCGCTTAAGCTACCAGAAACGGAGTGCTTAACCTGGAGACATCTTATCCATGGATTGTATTGTACATACAGCGGACTACGATAAAGTAGCTAGCGATAAAGTAGCTAGAAGAGGTATCCCGTTCGTTCCATCGGGAGCTTAGCTTAATATTTAGAGGGCTTAAGAGGTGCTAAAATGCGGAGTTCGTTGGGGGAACGTGCGGGATGCGGGGATGAAACGGCTCTTGGAATGTGGGTGTCTGCTGAGGATCTTTTATATCGAGATCTCATGGCACGGTAGAAATGTAGAAATGTAGAAATGTAGAAATGTAGAAATGTAGTTTTATCTTTTATCTTATTTTAAAGTATATCACATATATCATATATGACACTTTCTAGAAGAAGTAAACTCCCAGTTTGAGAAAGCAAGTAAGAAAGAGAGTTCCTTGTGTAAAGCTATCAGGTCTATTAACTAGGTCTATATATAAGCTGTAGTTAAGCTGTCGGATTGCCCCATCAATAATGAGCACAGTGCCGCGGGTATGTCAATGCGGAATTAGAAGGATCGGACTCATCGGAGTTTCTCTTTGGACGTGAGCTCTCGGCTCTCAGCTCTTAGCTCTCAGCTCTAAACAATTAACACTCTCAAGCTGACCAACTTCTTGACTGCCGTGAGAAGGTTAAGCCACCCTAAGTATGGCATCTGTCCCAAGAAAGCTCTGGGAGCATCCCAACCCCGAAAAGACACAGATGCATGAGTTGATGCAGCGGCTGAATAAGAAGTATGCCACTGGCCTCAAGGTGAGGTCGATTGACAACAAATACAAGCCATACGCCTATCCACTAACATGTCCTAGACATTCCAAGATTTATATCAGTTCTCCGTTACCAAGCGTTCCGACTTCTACACCGAAGTCTTTGAGTATACCAATTTAATCTACACGGGTTCCTACACGAGAGCAGTGGATGAGAGCCAGCCAATTGACGCCATCCCGCGCTGGTTCGAGGGTGTTCACCTCAACTGGGCCGAAAACCTCCTGTGGTCTCGCGGGCCCCAGGATCCTACCGATTACCACAGCACGGTAGGAAAGGAAAATACTAAGATCGCCCTGACCGAAATTCGAGAGGGCGCGAGCAAAACCAGACATGTCACGTGGGTAACGCTCCGAAAACTCGTAGCTCTCTATGCCTCCGCCTTACACGCCGGTGGGGTTGGGCGAGGGGATCGAGTTGTTGTCGTTGGGTCTAACAGCGTCGAGACGCTGGTGCTATTTGCTGCCACGACATGGCTGGGTGCTATCTTTAGCAGCAGCTCAACCGATATGGGCGTTCAGGGCATCTTGCAGAGAACGGTCCAAGTCAACCCCAAGGTAAGGGACATTCCTTTCTCTCTATTAACCATCTTACATCTTACTCATCAAGACTAGTATATCTTCATGGACGATGCAGCTCTTTACAACGGGAAGCGAGTAGACTTACGCCAAAAGATGACCGAGGTCGTTGCGGGGATGAAAAGTTGTGATCAATTTTCAGGCTTGGTCTCAATCCGTCGTTTCTACGACGCCTTAGATATAAGCAATATCCCCGGTGTCCAAACCCTACATTCGTTCCTTGCAAAGGGCGACCCGTTTTCTCCTCCGGTATGTATGCAAACATCCCGTGTTGTTATTTTCGAACCCCCTTTCTAGAACGATTTATCGAAACCGCCCGCCTTCGTAAGGTATATAGTGGCTATTAGTAGTATGATGGCCCTATTGCTTCGACCCAATCGAAAAAAAAATAACGGTGAAAATTCTAATATCATAGTATTGCAAAGCTGACACGAAATGTTTTTCATACATGTAGCCAATTGTTCGGATAGCTTTCCACGAGCCTTTCCTCATCTGTTACTCCTCAGGCACCACTGGCATACCAAAAGCTATTGTTCACTCCGTTGGGGGCGCTCTTCTAAACTATCTCAAAGAAACTCGTCTTCACGAGAATACCAACTCAAGTACTGTCACTCTGCAATACACAACTACGGGATGGATCATGTACCTCGTGTGCGTTGGCCAGCTTTTGGTCGGCGCACGCGTCGTCTTGTATGATGGGTCTCCTTTCCAGCCCGATCTCCAGACTTTTATAAAGTTGATTGGTGACCAGAAAGTAACGAAGTTGGGCACCAGTCCACGGTGGTTCTACGAGGTTGCTAGGGCAGGAATCTCACCCAGGCAAATTACCGACTTGTCAAATCTTCAAATAGTAACAAGTACTGGTATGGTACTCCCAGACCAACTGTTCGAGTGGTTCTACGACAAAGGGTTTCCAAGGCATGTCCACTTAAGCAATATATCTGGCGGAAGTGATATTGTAAGACTAACACCCATCGGACGTAGTCAACCGCTAACTTCATCCTAGGCTGGCTGCTTTGGAATTGGCAATCCACTTACTCCTGTCTACGTAGGTGGGACACAAGGTGTTTCTCTCGGCATCAAAGTAGTTCTATACGATTCGTTACTTCCTCCTGGACCCGGAAAAGAAGTACCAGACGGGACACCTGGCGAGCTTGTGGCTACCGCCTCGTTCCCAAACGTACCGATATATCTGTGGGGTGACAAGACGCCGACTGGCGTGCCTGGCCCGAAGTTCCACTCGGCCTATTTTGCAAGATTTGAGCATGTGTGGGCACATGGTGATTTTTGTGTATTCCACCCTGTTACCAAAAACCTCACATTTCTCGGAAGAGCCGACGGCGTTCTGAACCCTAGCGGAGTGCGGTTTGGTTCTGCAGAAGTCTACTCAGTCCTCGAGAGGAATTTTGCGGATAAGGTGGCCGACTCGATATGCGTTGGGCAGAGGCGGCCTCAGGACAACGACGAGAGCGTAATGCTATTCTTGCTGATGCGGCCGGGTCACAACTTCGACAGGAAGCTCATAAACGAAGTTAAAGAGGCCATCAAAAGGGAACTGACTAAGAGGCACGTACCTAAATACGTATTCGAGACCCCTGAGATACCTGTAAGTAGGAAATTTGCTTCCATCGAATAAGCGCTCCTATGCTAATTTGGAAACAGACGACGGTCAATCTGAAGAAAGTCGAGTTGCCGGTGAAACAAATTGTCTCGGGTCAAATCATCAAGCCAAGTGGCACGTTGCTCAACCCGAAGAGCTTGGATTATTATTACCAATTTGCTAAGGTTGAAGACCTTGTTGCACCCAAGGAGAAGCTTTAAAGTGAAGCAAACGGATATTTGCGTATGACTTGCAAAATAAGGATGATATTGCGGCCATCTTTGAGTTTGATTTGCGAAGGAAGATTAAAGACAGTTTTGATTTCAAAGCAAACAGGTACATCCCGTTCCGTTGCCCGACGAAGTGGGATTGGTATAAAGAGGTTGGTATCCGCGTGGTTCAACTGGGACCATATATTCTCGTTCTTGCGGTTGTTCGACAAAAGAAAATTAACCTAGAATGAAAGAATGAACAGATGCACTGTAACGATGGGTCTTATGACTGCCGTTATTATCACAAATTTCTCTGATGAATTTAGCGAATCTCAAATTTGTAATAAGAGCGGACTCGTCGGCCGATTCGGATACTAGGATTTGCATTCCGAATACCTGCATGGATCTGTGAGGGTAGCATATCAAGGGTTCGCTTGAAGTTGAGTTAACTTATGAGACAGAGACAAGGAGAAAAGAATAGAAGAAAGACGTTACTCGAGCGTGTCATTAAGCTTTAGTCGCAACAATTCCGTTATTAAGTTTCCTATTATTAAGTTTCCTATGAGTTAGACAGGTAGGTTGGCAGGGTATTCTGTATGTATGTAAGTAAGTATTTTGCATATGTACCTGGTAGGTACCTAATGGATTAGTTACCTAAGCATTTCTATTTAGAGGGGAAGTACGTACTGTAAAGTGCGAGTCGGCCGTTTCTGCGTCCTGTACTTCCTGCAACTAACTGCCCACTTATGCATCTTTCCAACCCAATTATACGCCTTTTACGCCCAAATGTAGCCTCCGTAAACAGATAAGTAAATAGGTAGGTAAGTATGGGAATAGTGTATGGAGATAGCGTATAAAAGTATGGAGGTAGCTTAGTAGGTAGTTAGACCGAAAACGTGTAGCCATAGCCGTCGGCACTCAGAATTGTATGTGGGGAGCATTTGAGCGGGATGTTTCAGTTACCTATCGTTATCTCTTTAGTTACCCCTCGCGGTTTCGACAAGAGATATAGTAATCGTTATTATATTGTTGTCGCACAGAAACCGACTGGACTGCTAGGTTCTCTCCTATGGTACCTAACCCGGTTTATTAAAATAGGTAGGTAGGTTCTTTCCCAAGAATCAAGGGTCTTCCTTTCCCCTCGATTCTTTTCCTATTTATTACCTGCATAGGTACATATGTACCTAGACACATTCAATACAAACATACATGTATGTAGGAATGGTGGCTAACGTTGTGCTACAGATAGCAGGAACTCAAACAATAGGTGCCACTCTAGCGAATATGAAAACCAATCAGAATTTATTAATGCAATGCTGATGCAGCGTTCTTACCATAGCTGCATGCGCAATATCTTATCAGCTAAGTACAACACAATACATGTACATGCTGCAATGGGGATCCACCTGTTATTGGAAGTTTAGTGTACGTGTACGTACCCTACATGTAGCTGACAAGGTGGTTTAGGTGCCTTTTAGGTATCTCTTAGCTCTTACCTAGCTTAATGGTGAATGGTAAATACATACATGTAGGTGGTAGGTAGTACAATACCAACATTGGTAACAGCACGGGTGTTTCTGTAAGTCGGCCGACACACATGCATCCACCTGCGTTACGCCCGTCCGCCTTCCATTTCATATTCGTTCATCTACCCATCTACCCTATGGATTGCCACATACATACATACATACATACATATCTTACATATCTTAGTAAGTAAAAGTACCTAACCTGCCTACCTCTACTTTACTTACCTGCGTTCCATTACATACCTACCTATCTACATAACAACCGCCAGTCTTGATGCCCGTGGTTAACTCCTCCCAGGAACGAACTTCTCTTCCGAATCAGTTCCATCGAGCTTCGCATTGTTTACCTCGTCCTTCGTCGTGTACAATCCACGGCCTTAGACCCGTTTCGTTGCCGCCTCCGACGTAACAACTTGGTCACACGTCATATACCTGCTTCAAAGCGAACGCAATCAATTAGTCATTTGACAACGGAAATCTGGGCCTGCCGATACTATCTGACTGTAGTGTATGCAGTGTATGCAGTGTATGAAGAGAAGTCGGTCTCCTAGTACTTAACAACTTAACTAGCAACTTAAACCAGCTTAACCTAGCACCTAGCAGCTTAGGTTGAATGTTAGGTTCACGGTCTACCTGACATGAGGTCAGCCACTTCAAAGCCATTCGTGCTGAATCCTGTCATCCAGTTATCCAAGCTCAATAAGAACGTCGCCTCCCACTTCGTACTACTTTCCTTTTCGTGTTAACCACCGAAAACTATCCACCCCGCGCCCACGACGATATTTACCTAGCCGAGGTATATCAAATAGCCCTTCTTGTAACCCGAAACCTCTCAGCTCACGCCGGCGGATAAACTGTGCCTCTCTTTCGTCCTAAACTGCGGGTGTTTCTAGCCCGCAGTATCGAGTAGCGAGTCGAAGTGGCAGACCAAAACCCCCAGCAACTTCCATCCACCCCATCCGCCTCCGACCACCCATCCACGCCGCAACCCCCTCGACCTCCTTCCAACATAGTCTTCTCAGCCCCCGCAGCGACTCTACCCTCCGCGAACTTAGCAAACTACGACCCGTCGCCCACCTCAGATATCGTGTCCGGTGCTGAGGAACGCCAATTTACCGAATCTTCTGCGCAGCGCCAGATTTTAGGGAGAAGACAACGATCTCCAGACGACGATAACGACGTCGCCGGCTCGCAGTCGGAGCTCCCGGAAGCTCCTGCTTCCCATATCATCCCTACCGAGAGTCCTAGGAGGAAACGCAGGCGTACCAACAGTACCATGTTAACGGATACAGACAGGCCAGCAGCTTCTAATGGCACTCCGAGGCCTTATGCTAATGGGAAGTCGCTTCGGGGGTCCTCAGTATCAAGTTCTACAAATGGAGCTAGTAAGGTAGCCTCGGCAGTTAATGGATCCTCTAAAGTGCGACCGTCAGATACATATTTCGGCCATGATCGCGAAGAAGTCACAAGATTACTATTACAAGCACTCACAGATATGGGTTACCACTCTGCAGCGCAGAGTGTGAGCCAGGAGAGCGGCTTTGAGCTGGAAAACCCGATGGTTGCCGCATTTAGGAATGCCGTGCTCGGGGGGAACTGGAACGAAGCAGAGCAGCTACTTTCTGGGGCAATAGTATCCGGCAGCCGGACTGGCGAGAATGGCAATGGGTTGGTGTTGGCGAATGGTGCGGACAGACGGATGATGAGATTCTGGATACGACAGCAAAAATTCTTGGAACTCTTAGAGAAAAGAGAAACCGGCCGCGCCCTAATGGTACTCAGAAATGAACTCACGCCGTTGTATCAAGACACCCAGAAACTTCATTTCTTATCCAGTCTACTTATGTGCCAAAAAACGGAAGACTTGAAGTTTAAAGCTGAGTGGGATGGCGCATACGGAGAATCTCGACGTATTCTCCTATCCCAATTGTCGAGTAAGTCCGGATATTCTCTAGATGTTCGCCCCTATCACACGTTTCGCTAATGCCCATTATTAGGATGTATCTCCCCGTCGGTCATGCTTCCGGAGCATCGCCTGGCCATACTTTTAAATCAAGTTAAGTCAAATCAAATTGGAAGTTGTCTCTGGCATTCTAGCGCTGCTTCGCCGTCGCTATACTCGGATCACATGTGTGATCGGAGACGATTCCCAGCAGAAAACGTTTTAGAATTAGATGAGCATGAGGATCAGGTCTGGCAGATCAAATTTTCACATGATGGAACAAAATTAGCCAGTTGTGGTAAGGGCAAGCAGGTTATTATCTGGGATGTTCCATCCTTCCGGCCACTTCATTACCTCAGGGATCACGACGACGGGGTTGGTAATGTCTCCTGGAGTTGGGATGATTCTATGTTGGTCACATGCAGTCAGGATCGCCATGCGAGGTTATGGGATGTTAATGTGAGTTTTATATAGTTTTACTTTTTTTTTTTCTTTTTTTTTTTGCAAACCTAACTGACAAATGCAGACTGGTGTCTGTCTTAAAACATTCGAACGATTCCAAGAACCAGTCACCAGCTGCGTATGGGCAGCAGATAGCAAAACCTTTATTACGGGTGCTCTGGATAAAACTCACGGTCTTATTCAGTGGAGCATTTCCGGAGATAAGGTGTACGACTGGAACTGTCTTCACAGAGTTGAAGACTTAGCTATCTCGCCAGATGGCCACTGGCTCGTGGCATCAGATGGTGGAACTCATATTCACGTTTACAATTTTGTTACGCATCGATTAGAATACGAGATGGATCTACAGGCCAGATTGACTTCGATTAGCATCAGCAATAACTCTCGACATCTCCTGGTGAACCACAATAATGGCGTTGCGGTCCTTATTGATCTTATTCTCCGCGAGCCAGTTCAAAAGTACGCCGGCTTCACCGGTGGGAAATTCATGATCAGGAGTGTATTCGGGGGAGCCGACGAAAGTTTCGTAATCAGTGGGAGCGAAGGTAAGCTTCTCTAAGAGGCGACATTGAGTTGGCAGCTAACTGTAGCAATAGACGGTTCGATTAACGTATGGCACAAGGCTACTGCCCAGCTGGTAGAAAAGCTTCCTGGACACACTCCTGGATGCAATTCGGTCTCGTGGAACCCAACTGACCCGTGCATGTTTGCGTCGTGTGGGGACGACGGCAAAATCAAGATGTATGTGACCCCTTGATGCCAAGTTTTTATGCTGAAATAGGAGGCTAATTTATCATAGATGGTCTAACAACGAGTGGCGCCAAGCTCATCGCGAGGTAAACCGAACCTCGATCAGTTCTTAGCAACAGTAGCTAGGTTATATTCCAGCCTTTTGATTTTAAAGTACAGTGCTTGCATGGGCCCGGCGTAAATTGGATGGTGGCATGATGCTTCTCCCCATCTCTAGCGACTCGACATAATTTGGGATGGCACGTTGCAAGAGACGTCTCTTCGATGGCGTTTTTAATTATGCTGTGCATCAGCGCAGAGTAGCTTCCATTTAAAGGGTCTGTTTGGGAGGGAGAGGTCATGCTGTGTCTTTTTTTTTTTGCCATTCATGCGATAGACTTGAGAGCCGGGAATGGCATCCTCACATTGGCATTGTATATCCAAGGGGCTATGTACAGGTA